AAAGGCCAACTGTAAACAAACACCATTCTTTTTTTTTTATTGGTGAGACTGAAGTAGTAATAAAAAATCTCCCAACAAAACAAAAGCCCTGGACCAGATAGATTCACAGCTAAAGTGCAGGTGCCTATCTTACAGAAATTATTCCATAGCATCAATAATGAGGGAATACTCCCTAACTCACTCTATGAAGCCAGTGTCACCTTGATATCATAGCCAAGAAAGGAAACAACAAAAAAGAAAACTAAAGACTAATATCCTTTGTGAATATAGATGCAAAAATCCTCAACAAAATACTAGCACACCATATTCAATAACACATCAAAAGAATAATTCACCATGACCAAGTGGGTTTCATCCCAGGAATTCAAGAATGGTTCAACATATGCAAATCAATAAATGTGATTCACCACATAAACAGAAGCAAAAACAGACCATGTAATTGTCTCAGTAAAATACAACATTCTTTCATGATAAAAGCCCTCAACAAACTAGGCATACAAGGAGCATACCTCAAAATTATAAAAGGTATACATAATAAACCCACAGCCAACCTGATGTTGAAGGGGAGAAAGTTAAAAGTATTATCTCTGAGAACTAGAAAAAGACAAGGATTCCTACTGTCAACACTTCTATTCAACATATTATTAGAAGTCCTAGCCAGAGCAATCAGGCAAGAGAAAGAAAGAAAAGGCATCCAAATCAGGAAAGAGGTGGTCAAATTACCCTGTTTGCTGGCAATATAATCTTATATCTAGAAAACACTAAAGATTCTACCAAAAGAATTCTAGAATTGATAAATAAAATCAGCAAAGTTACAAAATCAATGTACATGAATCAGTACCATTTCTATATATTTATAACAGTCAGGCTGGGACAGTCAAATTAAGAACTTAATACCATTCACAATGGCTACAAAGAAAATAAAATCCTAGGAACATACTTAACCAAGAGGTGAAAGAGCTCTATGAAAAAAAATATAAAACACTGATGAAAGTAACTGCAGATGACACAAACAAATGGAAAAAACATCCATTGCTTTTGGATTGGCAGAATCAACATCATTAAAATGATGCCATAATGTAAAAGTGACTTACAGATTCAACACAATTATTATTTTCTTATCAGAATACCAATGTCTTATTTCACAGACCTACAAAAAATAATCCTAAGCTCCATTTGCAACCAAAAAGAACCCTGAATAGCCAAAGCTATCCTAAGCAAAAAGAACAAATCTGGAGGCATCACATTATCTGAATTCAAATTATACTACCAGGCTATAGCAACCAAAACAACGTGGTACTGGAATAGAAGTAGACACATAGACCAATGGAACACTATAGAGAACCCAGAAATAAAACCATACACCTACAACCAACTGATCTTTAACAAAGAAGACAACAAAGTACATTAGGGAAAGGAAGCCCTATTTAATAAATGGTGTTGGGAAAATTAGATAGCCGCATGCTAAGAACAGAATAGGACCCCTATCTCTCACTATACACAAAAATTAAGTCTAGATGGATAAAAGACTTAAATAGAAGGCATGAAACCACAAAAATTCTAGAAGAAGATATAGGAAACATTCTTCTATATATTGGCCTAGGCAAAGACCCCAAAGGCAAATACAGCAACAACTAAAATTTAAAAAAGGGACTTAAGTAAATTAAAAAGCTTCTGCACAGGAAAGGAAATAATCAACAGAGTGAACAGACAACAGAGTGGGAGAAAATATTCCCCAAACTTTACATCTGACAAAGGACTAAAATATAGAATCTACAAAGAACTCAAATTAAGTCAGCAAGAAAAAAAAACAAAAAAACCCATTAAAGGGTGGCACCTGTGCCTCAAAAGGGTAGGGAGCCAGCTCCATATGCTGGAGGTGGCAGGTTCAAACCCAGCCCTGGCAAAAAAAAAAAAAAAAATTAAAAAGTGGGCAAAGGGAAAGAACAGAGGTTTTTCAAAAGATAGAGAAATGGCCTACAAACATATGAAAAATGCTCGATGTTATTAATCATCAAGGAAATGCAAATTAAAATAGCATTTTTATGATTTTTTTAAAGTAAACTATGGACTTTATTCTGATTTTTCCTCTTTTCCTACTAATGTTCTTTTTTGCTTCAGTTTGTCAAGGTGATTTTAAAAAATGAAAAATTGAGAAACTGTTCTAGATTGAAGATGGAAACATCATTTTTAGTGGATCAAAACCTCCAACCAGTCCTTCTCAGGTTAACAACAAGCCATAGCACCCTCTCCTGTTGAACCTTCAAAGGCACCCCCACCCCTAGTCAGTGCAGTGAGGTGAGAGCATCCTCTAAGGATGGGGACCATGGCAGTGTTTGCAGTGACAGGACCAACATTCCAATGAAACTGCTATTAAATAGAATTAGCACACGATCACACTGCATTCCTTTCCCCCAGCAATAATTGTTGAGAAAAATAAACTCAAAATAACATACCACTTGCAACAGGGACTAAAAACTAGACACTCTAGTAAATAACTTAATAAAGTTCTGGAAGCCCCCTAAAAATTGAACAAATGGAGATTTATGCCATGTTCACAGATACAGTGATGTAATGTAGAAAAATGTCTATTCCTCCTCCAATTAATTTATATATATTCAATGCAAGTCCTATCAAAATCCCACCATGTAATTTCAGTGTCTTGAAAGACTGATTCTCAAGTCAAAATAAAGAAGAATAAATGTCTAAGAGTAGCTAAACAGATTAGAAAAAAGGAGAACCAAGAGAAAGGGCTCACCACCAGGTGTTAAGACAGTTCCAAAACTGCAAGCATTAAAACAGTGTGGTACTTACACAAGGACTAACCAGTCAGAGCACCAGAATAGAACTGAGCATTTGGGAACAGACCCATTGTGTAGGAAACCTAATACGTCATAGAAGGAGCATCAATACAGCATGAAAAAAAAGATCAATGATACAGTAAATGGTGGCAAGAAATTGGCTTACTACCTGAAGATTTTAAAAATGTCACTTCCCTATCTCATACTATATTCAAAAGTACTTTCAATTGGAATTAAAACCTAAATGTGAAAGGTAAAACTACAAAGCTAATAGAAAAAAATATAGAATATTTGTGACTTGTGAGTGAGGAAAATTTTTACACTCAAAACCATAAACCACAAAGGGGAAAATGGATGGATTCAGCTACAGAAGTCAAAGAAAGATGTCTATGTGATGAAAAATGTCACAAAATTATCAGTTAGATGAAAAAGCAAGAGAATACATACGGAAATCTTATTGCTAAAAAAATTCAACAAGAAAGCCTAAAAAGAAAGTCAAAAGATAGTTGTTAATCTACTAATTCCAATTTAATACTGAATACATGGGATGCTCATTTTTCCATCTTTTTAAAATTAAGAAAAGTCAAAAGAAAGACATCGAGAAAGGATGAGAACATAAAATTTATAGGAGAAACCTGTTAATTTGCTAATGAAGTACAATCCAAGAATTGCAAATCAAGCAATGAAACAGCCCTTTTCTCCTTACTCTTACAGATTACAAAACTAGAGAGATAATACCAAGGAGGAAGGAGGATGTCTACCGGGATGCACCTGCTAGCCATCCCGGCCACAAAGGCAAACCCTCGCGGAATAAATGCAAGTGTATCCTGTGACCAAACCCTCCACAACTGGCTTCTGTCCCACTGAGACTGTCCCTGGGTACAGAGGAAAATATGTATGAAGGTTTGCAGTAGCTCAGACGTCTTTCTGAGGACAGCTGAGTAAGTATTATGCACACCATGGAGGTGACAGAACCACTGTAGTGATTACAGAACCAAGTAGCAATGATCCAATAAATAAGAAGCACCATTGACGGATCTCAAAAAAATGAACTGGGGAAAAGGATGGAATGAAGTGGGATTTGTGGAACAATATCATGTCTGCAAATTTCTAGAAGTTATAAGCACAAAAATACATGTTTTCGTATGTGTACAAATAGAAGTTTAAAAAAAGACTAAAGAAAGTGGGTGGGAAGGATATACATTACATTAATGGGAAGTGGTTGTCTTGGCAAGAAAGAAGAGGAGCTGTGCAGAGATGGATGTCACAAAGCCAGGAGCTTGAGGTGTTTGAGAAACTCAATCTCAGTGACTGCGGTAACAGATCATCTCAGGTAACTGCGCCCATCCCTCACCACACACACAAACCCACCCACACACTTAAATTGCATTCCAATCCAACTGAAGACAAAGGCTTCACCCAGAACTGTCAATCAGAAAAGGCAACGTGCTTAACTACTATTTAAGTAACTCTACCCTGATCATTTGTTTTCACAGGTTAAAAGATTTTAAACAACTATCCTGGAATTCATGCAATGGTTAAATTAATTTAGTTGCATTTATTAAACTTAGAAATTCTTGAACTATATACTAGCTGAAGTCAAATATATGTATTGACTGGAAGATGGAAAATTCAGCCAAACTCTTAGGATTATTCAGATACACCTACAGCATGAGGAACAGGGAGATTCAGTGCTACTCGGCATTACTTCTATAAATGGGAAACAAGGGAATGGGGGTTTAACTTACTGCTTTAACACATTTTACAGCTTTCAAATAAAATCCCCAGTGGTTCAACTGTTAGAGGTATTTGAGATGAATATTAAAAGTCCAGGAGCCTATATTCTTTGTGCATGTGTTTGGAAGAAAAATGTTTTTAGTTTCTGTATTTATTTACTATATTTTTATTTTTTTATCTATTTACTTTAAAGGACATGAAAGTCAAGGCTTTCAGCCTGGGGCATGATAAGTTTCCAAGGTGTATAGCTCCACTTGGGGCCCTGATATTTGGCTCCTGGCACTGTCTCTGGCCAAAGGCATGAGTCCTCTGTCCCTGTGCTTCCCTGGAAGACCTGGTGGGTACTCTGGATAAAGGAGAGAGTATGGTGGTTTCCAGTGCATGACCAAAGTGGAGACTGTGTAAGGGAGGTATGTTTTTACTGGCGGGTTCTGGCCCCACCCCCATGCCCAGTGTGCTCACCGTGCCTTCAGGGTCCACAAGCAGCAGGTGCTTGGCCTGGCCGTTGTGCATGCCTGTGAGGACAAAGGAGCCTGGGTTGGTGGTGCTCTTCCTGACCAGGAAGTCTCCGTCTTTCTCCAGCAGCCCCTCTGCCTCCTTTCTGCTCATCTCTCCTTGGTACCAAGGCTCAGCTTTCAGTTCCTCCAGCATCTTGGCATCTGGTGCTCTGGGTGACACAGGGCTGATGCACTCCACTGATGCTGCCTTGCTCAACACAGGCCCCAAGGACTGGTTCTTGAGAGCATCTTCAAAGGGTTCTGTTGTCAATAACATTTACCAACAAGTCAATCTCGTGAAGAGCAAAGGATGAAAAATACAATATGAGAAATGGAAATGCAAAGGCAACTCCTCTCTCAAAAAAAAACCCACTGGAAAAAAATAACCAGCTCATAATATAACAAGAATCATGAGAACAAACATTTAAAAGCACAGCCCAAATTTTGGCATGACTTTCTGATGAGTCTGCCTTCTTGAGACAGCTGGGAGTTGTGCTGTGTGCCAATTATTGATTCAAGCACATGCTTTGTCTAGTTAGCTAGAATGGCTTCATTTTTGCACACTGAGGACGCTGTGCATATTACACACCATCTACTTTCTCTAGAACATCAGCCATCTTTATTCATTTATTTATTGAGATACGGTCTCACTCTATTGCTCCAAGCTAGAGTGTTGTGGCATCATAGCTCACAGCAACCTCAAAGTCCAGGATTCAAGTGATGTTCTCGAACAGCTGGGACTACAGGTGTGTGCCACCACACCTGGCTAGTTTTTTTTCTATTTTTAGTAGAGATGGGGTCCCCCTCATGCTCAGGCTGTTCTCAAACTCCTGAACTCAAGCAATCCACCTCAGCCTCCCAGAGTGCCAGGATTACAGGTGTTAGCCACTGCACCTGGCCTCAGCCAGCCTCATTAACAAACTGAATAAAAATCCGCCAATACCAAAGGAAAACGTGAGCTACAAAGCTTTGATTTCATGCAGAACCTAAGCCCAACCCATCTAAGGTTTATTTCAAAATCTTTGCGTGAGGCAAACTTTTATTTTTTTTATTTTTAAATAATGTCAATTACGCATATTTATTTGTAATAGTAAGACTTCCCATAGGTGAAACATGTTACAGTTACCTATAAACATTTATTTTTTACTGTTTACAAATTGAATAATTATGTAATGTTTGTATATTGCAACCAAGTGAGTTATAGAAAAGTCACATAAACAATATAAATCTGATACCCAGATGCACCTTTTAGAATGAGAAGAAAAGTGACATTTACTGGGCACTTCTTGTGTGACTTGCTCCAGGCTGGGAGCTCTACTTCTATTTCACCTTCACTTGTTTCCCTGGGGAAATAGGCTCCCATGTGAGTGCCCGAGACCGTCTTGGTTTCATCCCCTTCAGAGCACACATCTCAGTGCAGGGCCCACGTGAATGGTGAGAACATGTCTCTAACATCCACAAAGACCAGTGGCAAAACAAGTAGCCAGGCAGTCCAATTAAATCTCAGTGTTCGATTTTGAAATAAGGCAGTGTGTATAAAAACACTCTGAAAAATGCACATGGTGCTACACTAGTGTGAGGCGTTATGATGACTGTTCCAGACTACACTGTCTACTCTGGACGACACAAGCAGCATAGGCTGGTGCAGTTCTTGCCTGAGCCCAGCCACCTCCCCAGAGCCCAGCTTGCTCCAGGGACTTGGCTCACACTCTGGAAGAAGGCAACAAATGCTGTAAATCAAGCCTAATTTATGAAATGTCAGTAGAGAATGGACAAAAGTGAGGTAACAAATAAAACCAGAATTTGGTCTTTTTGACACTATGACAAATTTTGGGTATAAAAAGACTAAATTACTCACAAAAATTGCGTTTGTATATTTTCTCTTGTATTCTACTTTTCTCCAGATAACCTGGAGGAGTTGAAAATTTGTATTTTTCTGTTTCTGCACTATCATCATCTTTGCTGTCATCCACATCATCAGCATCATTCCCATTATCCCCATGTTCACTTTTATTGACACTACCATCACCATCACTACCACCATCACCCCATCATCACCATCATCACCACCAGCACCACTACCACCACCATCATCACCACCATCATTACCACCAGCACCATCATCACCACCATCATTACCACCAGCACCATCGTCACCACCATCATTACCACCAGCACCATCATCACCACCATCATTACCACCAGCACCATCATCACCACCATCATTACCACCAGCACCATCATCACCACCACCACCATCACCACCACCACCATCATCACCATCACCATCACCACCATCACAGTATCTCACCACCTTCACTACTTTTATCACCATCATTATCACCATAAGCACCATTACCATCACCACCATATGGCCATCACCACTACTGGCATCACTACCACCATTATCATCACCATGAGCACCACCAGTCACCATCATCAGTCTTTTTTTTAGCAGTAGTGGTTCAAGATAAAGAACATGGAATGTTGGCTTTTTTTTTGCTTTTGTACCTTCCAAAAGACACCAACCTTTCCAAGGCTCTTTCTCCTTTCTGTCTTTGCTTTTCTGATTTTGGGAGCAGTACTAGAAATTAAATGATAGGGAAAGGCTGGCTCTGGTTCTGATTTTTCCATCTCAAACCCCAGGCCAATCTAACTGTCCTCAGGCTCTGGGACCAGAAGTCACTGCTAAACTTCCTAAATTAAACAGTAAAAATAGTCTGACTATAAATACAACTGCTGACCTGCAGCTGGGGGACTCTGTAACAAACAGAGCAGAGGCCTGAAGAACCCCCACCAGGCTGTGCATCTTGGGAAGTGGCTTCACACTTGTCAGGGTTTCCACATGTATCTAAATGCAGGGACTGAAGGGAACAGATTAGGTGACCTTTAAGTTGCTCAAAGCACTGGGATTTTATAGTTCTTCTGGCTCAGGTGATTTTCATAAGAGAAAATGGAAGTCTGGGGTGTCTGGGGAGCCAAATTGGCTGAGAAGGAACAGACTATTGTGCATGATGCTACCTGATTATAAAAGTACTTAACCCTGTCCTCATTCACACAAAACACCACAGATAGAAGGTTTTGGACCAGCAAGGCTGCCTTTTACAGGCAGTAAAGTTACTTAGCCTCTAGGATTCTTTGTTTCCTCCTTTGAAAACATAGATAATAATAGTAATCATAACATCTTACAGGGTCATTGCAGAAATCAACCACAAGAATATGTGCCTGGCACATGGTAGAAACTCATTCAGTGCTAATCTCCTTCCCCTCCCTCTTCAGCCTACGAAATTCTCAAGGACTTTGGAAAGGAAACTTTAGCATATAAAGGTCTTTGTAGCTTGGAAAGCTTTTTCAAAATTCTTTCACAATAATTCCCACTTTCATTAATCAATCTGTGCCCTTTCATGTTTGCATCTTTTGCAACTAACACACTAGTTGGCACACAAGACCCAATTAATATTTAAGTGAATAAATAAATACATTTATTTATGTATATTGTTTGTCTTAATATAGTTGCAGACCTTTGTGAGGAAAGTCCATTCAAAAAGGGGGGAAATTGTTTTGCGGCTTAACTGTAGAGAAGGCTATAGTCTAAAAGCCTCAAACGAGCCCAGTCATCACCTAAAAAACTGCAGCTAATCATTGCTATTAACCCAAAGCCTGCTAGCAGAAAATTCAGTAGTTGCCCAAATTTCAAGTAAATAGCAGTAGAAAAAGCAATCTCCAAAGGGAAGGAAACCAGAGAGCAACAGAAACCCACTCATGTCAAAGAGGTCTTTCCGCGGGCTGCTCTCAGTGCTACTGGCCACAGCTGGCCAGGCCTGCGAAGGAATCTGCTGGGTGTTGACATAGGTGGGTGCTTCTCCCAGGGGGGCCAAGTGCGAGTTCCCTTCTGGAGTGCTGTAGGTGTCCAAGGACCCTGCAACAAGAAAACATGACCTTTATTCTCTTAGGATGATGACACTATTCTTGCCTCTACAGTGAATCCACCCAGCACTTCCTAAGTTCCTTAAGCTGCCAGCAAGAAAACTCTGCTTGCTTAAATTCTCCTCTTCTGAGTCTGTCACCACACACCACTGTGACCTAGCTAAGATCCAGCCAGCCTCTCATGTCAACAGGGGATCTGCCAGTCAGCATCAGAGTGGACATTGTGTTGTCTCCACCATGACGGCCTTACCAAATATTCTGGGTCCCTCTGCCCAGGCTCATAGGAATTAAGCAGGCAGGATGTGCCTGGGTCTCTCCTGTCCTTTACAAACACTTCAAGATCCAATAACCAAGCAGAAGAACCACAGCCTGATTTGAATTGCTTTTATTTTCTTTCCATGTAAGGGAATGCTATATAAATTGACCCCATCTGAGCCATGAAGTATAGGCCCTGTGTTTAGAAAGATACCTTTCTAAGTTTTAAGGAACTAAGGGTCCCTCCTTACAACATGGACCTTAGCTGCTGACATGCGTCTATGGAGAGCACGGGATGCTTCTTTGATGGGACTTCCCATTTGGTCAGTGAGTGTGCTGAGGTCACCTGGAAGTGGTATGAAAGGTGCCTGAGAACACCTGCCCGGTCACTCTTGGAATCTTTCTGTGGGTGTTCTGTCTCCAATTAACTTACATAACATATTCACGAGAACGCTCTGTGACGCTCACATTTCTGGAAAGAGGGTGTCTCATACCCTACAGGCGGTGGCGTGTTAAAGCCAGCTCAATCCAGCTGGCAAGAGGCAGTTCAGGGCTTTTTGAAAAGCTTCCCCCAAAGCCCATTGTGGGATGTTTGCCAGCATGCCACAGTCTCCCATCCCTACATGTGAGAGTGAAGTGCCGTCCTGACACTCCTCCACTGAGGGGTGTCACCTGCAAACTCATCGACTGAGTCTCCACTCTGCTGCCCCTAAACGTGATATCTATGTTTAAGAGGCTGAGCCCAAATTAACAGGTCCTTGCTTAGTGACAGCTATTTGCAGTTTACATGTTTGTATACATTGCAAACAAATCAGCCTTTAGAAAAGAATTTCAAAAACAAATCTTAAAAAGGAGAGGATCAGAAGCCCAGTGAATAACAACCTTTCTGACAGACCTTTCCAAATGTCAATGACACCATGGTGTCACCTAGAGTTCATGTTCATTTAGGGGGAATAGCTATCAGCACATTAATAAGTGACATTCTTATTTGTTCTGTGATAAAATATATTTACCATTTCCAAATGCAAGTTTGAAATGTATTGCGAGTGTTGAGTTTCAAGTCCCAGGCCAAGAACTTGTATAAGGCTCATTTTGCTCTGGTGAGTCTGCTCTATCACCTGCTCTCTATCAATCTGAAATAACTTAAATATACAAAAAAAGACCTATTTTAAAATAAACCTGACATATTTACAATAAAGTATCTGATGGTGATAACATGTCTCCTTTAGTCCTCACCAGTTATCACATGTCCATGTGTACACATGTTATTTAAATATATTTTAAATGTATATAGAACAAAAATAAATAGCCCACAGTGAAAAATTACCACTGGCAAAATGATGGCTTTGATTTACTCTTCCCATCTTTTTCTGAGACAGAGCCATGTGGTGGTTTTGTCCAGACCTTATGTTTTATTGACCAGGCCAGCAATGTGGGTCTTCTTTTATTCAGGGCAGGCAACACATGGAATTCTTTTGCATGGGGGAAATTCTTAAAATTTATTGTCACCTGCTCCCTGAGACAGATGGCTATAATGGTGGAATAAACCTTAACATTAAATCAATAAAAAGTTTAATTTCTATACATAAAATCATCAAGTGAATCCATCTCTCACAGACTCTATAGACTTAGCAGCAAGAACTCCAGAGCTACTGAAAGAGTTATTAAAATTTTTAAGAAGGAAAAAAGTTTAAAATTTAAAAAAATCTTTAAAAGACAGATGCATAGATACTTAGAGATAGGAATATATTCATACATATGATAAGTATGTGCATAATTAACTGTCTAGAGAATAAAGATTCATGTGAGCAATTAGCAGTTAGTACTTAGTTATATCTAAATTATTATAGTTATATCTAAATATATCTAAGTTGCCTATTTTTAGGTATAAATTATAGATAAGTATATCTATATTATTTTTAATGTTACTACATTTGATAAGACATAGAAATAGCCTCTGAAAGTACGCAGGGCCTGTAAGAGACTTATATCCTTGATTTGGTCTCTGCCATCAGTTCCCAGCCTGGGGTAGGTATCTTCACATTCCTTTCAAAGTTGACTCTGAGTCAGGGGAGATGAGAAGAGGAGTGGGACAGGAATGAAAGGCAACAAGTTGCTGTACAAGCCATCGGTGCTCAAACTTGCTGGAAAACTTGGAAACATCATAAAACATCCTTTGGAGTTGCCCCACCAGCTCCCATCTGAAACTGGTGAAGGTGGGTGCCCTTGGGATATCAGTTCCTTAGCACTGTGGGCAAGAAAGTTCTCCCAGCATAGGAAGCCCGGAGGTGGACAGTCCCCAGGGTGCATGAGACAGAAGGTGCAGGCAGAGTATGAACTGGTCCTGGCAATGCAAGAGATGCTACCTGATTTGTGCCTGTGAGCATCAGGGACATTATTTCTATTTCTGTAATATACTTGGGAATCTACAGCACCACCCACAACAAATATTTCCAGAGGGTCACTCTGCCACTCCAGAGGAAACAGATGGCCCACTGGCAAGTCCATTAATGTTTAAATGTCCTTTTTCTTTCTCACCTGCCTCACCTTCCTTCTCACCTTGCCTGACAGGTGTTTGGTGCCAATCTTCGCCAAATGTGTCTCCCAAGTGTCTTCCTTGGTAATAAGTTTGCTCTTTTCCTGCAAACTATAGACACAAACATATACACAAAAAGGAAGAATTATCTTCTTGTTTTCTTGCCTTTGGAAGCCATAGGACAGCAGGCAGCACCTGAAGGGCGCCTGTATCTTTTGTTAAGCCCAACTTTCCCTCGTGCCTCATGGCTGGCATTAAGAGTTGAGAAATAAGTTTGTGTGGGTGTGAGGAAAAGGCTGTATCTCCATCAAAACTACACATGGCCCCCTCCTTGTTTGCATTATCTCCCACCACCCTCCACCAGTGCGACAGCAAATCAAGCTCTTCCATATGCATGCCTTAAAATACATTTTAGTTAGAGAGTATCTACGTGTCAGAACATACTTCCCACTCAACACATATGCCTATAATCATCTACACTCAGGCAAGTTTGCTCTATGAACCAGGAAATTTCCTATGAAAGCCAGGAAACTCCCTCTCTGTGTCACATTTTGGATCTCAGTGTTATTTTGCCATTTTTATTGGTATCATTATCATTCACATAAGATAAGTGATGTCAAAATTTCCTCTAACAAAATATAGATATTATAACTCTAGAAAGCAATTGCCTTATTAGAATTTTGAGTTGGAGGGAAAATTAGGAGAATGAATAAAATAGAAAAACTCAAAAAATTCTCATCATTCTAAGGGCGTATATTCCCTCTTTGTAGAGAACCTAAACCACCCCGGGCCTTTTTAAAGTTTTGAATTCTCTCTTCCATTCACTGAGATCAAAGCATGATGGTCTTCATGAGGATGGAGAGGACATACCCAGACTCAGACCTTAGGAATCACAAGATAGTTGGCTAAGGCATTATGATGCTTTGTGAGAGTTCATGAGTTACGACATCAAAAACTGAACAAAACATTGACCTGAAATAAAATTAAAGGAAATAAAGTTAAGTTCATCACCATCTAAGAAAAAGAGTAGAAGACTCACCTGGGCTGTGTCAGGGGCATGAGGTCTGGTTTTTAGTCTAGCATCAAGAAACCCCCCTGGAGGAGGCATCTTGCTGGGAATGCTATTGTAGTAGGGATGGTCTGAGCCTTCTCCCTCTTCTTCCGTCCATGGTTCATCCAGACTCTGCATTCTGTTAAAAGAGAATTTTCCAGTGCTTTAGCCAAATTTGAGCTTGCAGCGAAAAAAGAACAAATCTGATGTTAGTACCTAATACCAAGAAAAGAGTTTAGTCAATTCTCTTTAACCATCTAGGTCTTAGGCATAGATAAAAAAGCAGGTTAATGGTTTGGGCAAATATTCCTGCTTTATTCAGAGTTGCACACACTGGAAGACTGGAGTCATGTTTAAATGAGCTTCTTTTATAAAATACATTTTGATTAAGAAAGAAATCATGCCCAAGAACAGCCACCTTGGCCAACAAATTCTCAATACAGGCAAACATTTCAGTGTCATGAAATTTATCCAAAACAAAATAATTTTAAAATAGAGACGTAGTGATATCAAGGGAAATAGCAAAGAAAGGACATCTGAAAATTCCATTTTCCATAAAAGCAACAAGAAAACTGGCCAAAAACCAAAACCAAAAAACCTACTTTTGCCAGATTCAATGTTTTCAGAATTCAGAATTAACCAGAATCTTACAATAACTCAGGGGGGTATTTATGTTTAAAAAAATAAGCAAATAGCTGTAAGAATATTATCTCTGTGGGATTTTAAATCATCCAGTTTTCATCTCTGATAGCCTTGAATTTTCATCTCTGATAGCATAGATATCACTGTGATTTCACATCAGCAGCCTAGCAGCCACAGTAGGGGCAGAGCAGCACTGAGGGTCCACCAAAGCCCCAGTCCTAGAGAACTATCATTATTTGACATGTCTGTTGGTTCTTTGGAAGATCCAACTCCCAAGGCTGTCTTTACTTGGCCTGACCTGATTTGGAGCTTGCTCAGGGCAAAATGTCTCTTCTCCCAGAGCCATTTGTCAAAAACAATTAGAGACAAGTGTTTAACATTGTGGCTCACTGAGGCAGAGGGCAATATTTGGGTCAAATTGAAAACATTTGGGTTAATCCAGAAGCTTAAAAGAAAAAGCTTGGAAATCATATGTTTATGAGAACTTTAATAAGCTCTGACATATCTCTGGGAATCTAGAAGGACACAGGCTGTGTTCATGCCCAGAGTTGTGTGGCTGCTTAGAATAGATTTAAGAAGATTGTAAGCTCTCACCTCTGACTGACCTTGAAGCTATGTCAAAGAATAAAGTGAAGGCAAGGGCAGAGTTGGCAACTACCTGGCTAACTATTGAAGAAGAACCCCAACACAATGAACAGAGCCCCTCAGAAAAGACTAAGAGACTTCATAGTTCCAAGCATTTAAGGAAATATCTCCCCAATCATTAGCTGACCAATAAGCAAACCAAACAGGGGCATCAGTGGACAAATCTGCCAAAGAATACAGACTTTACAGAATTAGTTTAGAAAACCACTAAAACAAACAACCTCTCAAAACAAATAGGAATAGCAACAAATTTCTGAGGAAGAGAGAAATCTTATTTCCAGAGTTGCCACATTATATTATTTAAAATTTCCAGTTTTGAAAAATAAAAGAGACATGAAAAGAAATACAAAAGTATGGCTTATATACAGTAAAGAAACAATTAATTAACTGTCCCTGAGGAAACTCAGACTTCATACTAACTAAACAAAGACTCTAAATTATCCAAAGAACTAAAAAAAGCCATGCATAAAGCTCTAAACAGAAGAATGTCACCTCACCAAACAATGAGTATCAATACGGATACAGAAATAATAATAAAAGAGGTATACAGAAATTATAGAGTTAAAAATTCAAATAACTGAAATAAAAAATTAGCTTGAAGTTCTTTAGGTTGAGTAGACAGAAGAAAGAATGATAGATCAATTGAGATTATGCAGTCTAAGGAACAGAAAAAATAAAATTACTAAAATTGAAAAGAGCCCCAGAGATGTATATGACACCATTAAACCAAACATACACATAATATAGTGCCCTGAGGAGGAAGGGCACTGAAAAGTGCAGGCCTGAAAAGGGCAGGGCTGAAATAATGGCTGAAAACTTCCCAAATCTTATTTTTAAAAATTGATCTATACATCCAACATGTTCAAAAAAACTCAAGTTGAGATAAACTCAGAGAGTCACATATCATAATTAAATTATTTAAAGCCAAAGAAAAACAGAAAAAGAAAGTCTTGAAGGCAGCAAGTGAGAAGCCACTATCATGTACAAGGGCTCCTCAATAATATCAACAGCTAATCTCCTATCAGAAACAATGGAAGTCAAAGGCATGGAATGACATATTCCATGTGCTGAGGGAAAGACTGTCTACCAAGAACTTTATATCCATAAAACTTTATATCCTTCAAAAAAGAAGCAGACATTAAGATATTCTCAAATAAATACAAATGAAGAAAATTCATTGCTAACAAAACTGCCCCGTGGCTCGGCGCCTGCGGCTCAAGCGGCTAAGGCGCCAGCCACATACACCTAAGGTGGTGGGTTTGAATCCCCAGCCCAGGACCGCCAAACAACAATGATGGATGTAACCAAAAAAATGGCCGGGCGTTGTGGCAGACGCCTGTAGTCCCAGCTACTTGGGAGGCTGAGGCAGGAGACTCACTTGAGCTCAGGAGTTGGAGGTTGCTGTGAGCTGTGATGCCATGGCACTCTACCCAGGGGGATAGCTTGAGGCTCTGTCTCAAAAAAAAAAAAAAAAAACTGCCCCGTAAAAAATACTAAAAGTACTTTAGGCTGAAATGAAAGGGCAGTGAACAATAATTCATACCAATATGAAGAAATAGAGAATAATGGTATAGTTAGCAACATAGGCAAATATAAAAGATAATATAAATGTAGTTTTTCCTGTAACTCTTTTATGTCACCCCTCTAAAAGACAACTAAATGAAGAAATAATCTGTGTCAAAAGGCACATAATGTATAAAGATGTAATTTGCATAACAACAATAGCACAAAGGAGAATGGAAGAATGAAGCTACATAGGAGCAAAGCTTTTATATATTATTAAAATAAAGGTGGTATCAATCTTAACTAAATTGTTATAAATTAAGAGGAAAACCATATTCCTCAGGGTAACCACTGAGAAAATTACTTTTAAAAATAGTAAAATAGACAACAAAGGAGTTAAATGGTACACTTAAAAATATTTATTTAACAGCAAAGGAAGTATTAATGGAGCAATCAAACAACAAAAATGAAATAAAATGTATAGAAAAAATAGCAAAATGGCAAGGAAAAAATCCTTATGGAAATAATTACATTAAATATAAATGCATTAAACACTCCAACTAAAAGGCAAAATTGGAAGGATGAATTAAAGAATGGTCTGACTACATGCTTCCTCTAAAAGACATGCTTTAGATTTAAAGACATAAATAGATTTAAAGTATGTAAAAAGACATTTCATGCAAACAGTAACACAAGAAAGCAGGATTGGCTGTACAAATATTAGCCAAAATGGATTTTGAGACAAAGTTTTTACAAAAGTAAGGAAGATAGGTTTATAATGATACAAGGGTAGTCCATCAGGAAGATATAACACTTATAGTAGAACCTCCATAGTTGACCTCCTCCCTGCATTGATAACCTCCTTAAGTTAACCTAATTTTCATAGAGTGGACATGTGCCATATGTACTCAATGTATAGTAGGCCTAGTTCCTTATGTTGACCACTTCCATATATTGACCAATTTGTTATAATCCCTTGAGTGAGGGACTCAACCTACAGAGGTTCTACTATATAAATATGGGTATCTCACAATAGACTCCAAAGTACATGAAGCAAAATCTAACAAAACCAAAGTGACAATTCAACAATAATAGTTGGACAGATTAATATGCCACTTTCAATAACAGAACAACTAGACAGAAGATTGTGAACTAGAAGACTTAACAACTCAATAAATTGAGACCTAACAGACATGTATAGAACACCGTATTCAACTACAGCAGAATCAAAATTTTTCTCGAGTGCATATGGAACATTCTCCATGATAGACCATATGGTAAACCATAAAACAAGCTTAAAAAAAACTGAAATCAGATAAAGCATTTTTCAAAACACAATGGGAATCAAAGTAGAAATCAATATTAGAAAGAATTTTGGGCAAATCACAAGTAAATAGAAATTAAACAACATATTTCTAAATTTTTTAAAAAGGGTCAAAAAAGAGATCACAAGGGAAATTAGAAAATATTTTAAAATAATTGAAAACAAAAACAACATACCAAAATTTATGAGACAAAGCAAAAGAAGTGCTTTTATTGTACAGTGTAAACATTTGACCAGGCACAATGGTTCACATCTGTAATCTCGGCACTTTGAGAGGCTGAAGTGGGAGGATCACTTGAGGCCAAGAGTTCAAGTCCAGCCTGAAAAACATAACAAGGTGCTATCTCTACAAAAAATTTTAAAAGTTAGCTAGATGTGGTTGTGTACACCTGTTGTCCTAGCTAGTTGGGAGGCTGAGGTGGGAGGGTCACTTGAGCCCAGGAGTTTGAGGTAGCAGTAAAATCTAATTGCACCATTGCACTCCAGCCTGGGTGACCAAGTGAGACCCTGTTGAAAAAAAAAAATAATAATACCTATGCAACAGAAGAAGAAAGATCTCAAACCAATATATGAACTTCTACCTTAAGAAACTAGAAAAAGAAGAGCAAACTAAACATAAGCAGAAGGAAGAAAATATTAAAGTGTAAATAGAGAGTAGAAAAACAATAAAGAAAATTCATAAGACTGAGAGTTGATTCCTAGAAATAGCAACAAAATTGTTCAAGTCCTAGCTAGACAGATGAGGAAAAAAGAGAGGACTGAAATTATAAAAATTAGGAATGAAAGAGGAGATTTACTACCAACCACATGGAAATTTAAAGGATTATCAAAAGAAACTATGAATAACTATATGCCAACAAATTAGATAAATGGAGAAATTCCCAGAAAGATTCAAACTATCAAAACTGACTCAAGGAGAGATAGAAAATTTGAATAAACATGTGATAAATAGAGACTGAATTAGTGATCAACGAACTTAAGTTGCAAGGAAAGCCTAGGATCACATGGCTTCCTGGTAAAATCTACCAAATATTTAAAGAACAATTAACAGCCATACTTCACAAACTCTTCTGAAAAACAGAAGAGGAGGGTTGGCACAGCTTGGGCCCAGAGAACCTGGTGCATGTAGGGTGGGTTCTCTCTGCCTCATCTGGAGGAACAGAGCAATCCCAGAGAGGGTCACCCTCACTCCTGCTCTCAGACCTGCCCACTGGACACAGGGAGAGATTACTAGACAAGGTGAGGAGGATATCAGCGCAGTCAACACAGTAGGAAGCTACAGGCAGGGGCCCCTGTTACTGGTCTGTTTTAGAAACAATGTTGATACTTGCATTTGGAGTCGACATCTTTCTCCACAGCTAAGATCCCAGCTACTTCATTTTCTTTCCCCAGAAGTCCTTCAAACTTTATTATATAGAAATATATACAGGACTCAATACCTTAAGTGTACTGCCAGAAGAGCACTGTACTTAAATTAACTCTCCCCACTCAGTTTTGTACATATAATTTTAATAGTATGTATTTGACTTTATGCAAAATTTCAAATATAGGGAAGCGTAATAATTAACATGAAAGATACCTATCCATCCACTACCAAGAATAAATGTGTTAAAATTTTTGCAATATTACATGCTTCCTTTCTTAAATGACATAAAATTTGTCAAACTTTCTTTAGGTGGATAGAAAGATAAATGATATTAACAGTAAAACGTTAATGATACAATCTAGATGGTGAATACAGAGGTGCTCACCATAAGTTCTTTGCGTATGTTGGAACATTTTCATTGCAAAATGTTAGGGGGAAAAACTTCTGGACCAACAAGCCAAGCCCACACCCCCCACCTGCCCCTCTCAGGTATCCTAAAGTTGATGTATAATATTCAGCATATTTTTATACTCTTTCTACACCTGTACTTGTCCATAAACCATTTATAAACCACCCATTTATAGAGGGTGCCAAAAATATATATACATTTTAAATAAGGAAAAAAGTTGTATTAAAATTGTAATACTTAATATGTACAAATAATATTTTTTATCTTGTATATTGTAGCTGTATCTCTTGTAATTGCAGAAGTCAAACGTAGTTTGGATATCACAATTTTAAAACATTTATCCCTTTCTTAAAATGTGTATACATTTTTTGGCACCCTCTGCATTTATGATTTACGTGTTTTTTAAATGTTCATAAATAGTTCATATTTTTTGCCATGTTCTTTTCCACTCCATTATGAATTGTGAGATTTATCCTGTGTACTGATGAATTTTGTTTACCTATTATGTCCCATTACCTATAAAATAGAAAATGTGTCTCCCTACTCTCCTACCAAGGGCCTTCAAATTGCTGCCACCTTCCGCCTCTAACTCTCCTTACACACCATGTTCATGTCCCAGCTTGCTGAAGTTTCTAGCAAGCTGGGGAAAGTGGGTCCTTTGCAGGCTTCTCTGTAATGAATGTCTTAAAGGGAATTTTCCATGGAATGAGGAAAAGAAATGAGAAGTCACTTTTAGGAAAGGTAAAAACTGAGAAAGGAGAGGAAAGAAGGCTTCATAACAACCAAGCTAAAGATGGACACTGACTGCATGACTAAGTCACAAAATGTGACTTTAGAAATTAGAAAAAAGTAAAAGGTAAATTAGGAAGTAAAGTTTTGCTTACAGTGAACACATCATTATAAGAGATTTTCATTATGCAAGTTCAATCAAGGACAGAATAGCGAATGACCAACATGCCCCATATTATTTTTTTTAAGGCTTTATGCTACATAGAATATTCTTATGTCTGAGGAAATTCAATGGTAGAACCTGAACATTTTTCATAGTAAAATGAATATCTCACAATTCCTGTTCACATTCACCATTTCATTTAACACTTTAGAAAACTGTCAGGCCAACTATTATTCCTGTTTCACAGAGCTACTGAGCCCCAGAGAATTGATGGAACTTGCCCAGGGCCACATAGAACGTAAACAAACTACAAAGCAGTGGAATCGCAAAGGGAGGGGCTCTTGCAGCCTGACTTTGGCTAATCTTGAGGACAGGGACAACAGGATGCATGGAACAGTGAGACAGACCCGAGGAGCTAACATATGGGAGCATCACATGGTTGCAGAGGAAACAGAATGAAAAATTATAATGAAGTAGCTTTTCTGTAACCTTAGCTACCATCACTATAGTTTCAAGAAAATGTTTTTCTACACATTCAAAGCGTCATCCATATGTTGGTTTCCATCTGTTGGTTTCCTGTGCCACAGCCCAGCTCCGACCAGGCATCTCCACGGCCAGGAAGCCCTGTGATTCACTGCACCTGTCCAGAGCACAGTTCAGAAGGGCTGAAGAGGAAAGGTCACAAAACTCAGATAGGCTGCTATGAATGGTGTCACAGTACTACTCACCGATCCTGGAGTGCAGGGATTTTGGTAGGACACTGCAAATACTGCTTAAACCGGAGCTCAAAGGCTTGTCCAATGGAGCCAATGACATCTTGGGCCAGCCCATCACAGCATTCCAGAATGTGGCAAGCTGGGAGTGAAAGGGACGTAGGACCATTAGAGACAGACACTAGCCCTACCTGAGGGACAGAGGGACGAAGATGTACATGATTCCTTCACAATATGTCCCAGCAGGTCTTCATGCAACTTAGCCTTGAGGGAGCCACCTGCTATAAGGTTTCATGGTAGGTAAGCATTTATTAATAGCCTTTATGCCTACAAAAATTATAGCTTACTTTCTTTCTCTCTTTTTTTGAGACAGCATCTTGATCTGCTGCCTGGGCTTAGAGTATAGTGCAGTGGCATCCGCATAGCTCACAGCAACCTCAACCTCCAAGGCTTCAAATGATCCTCCTGCCTCAGCCTCTTGAGTAGCTGGGAATACAGCCCTGTGCCACCACACGCAGCTATTATTTTTTTTTATGTTTTATAGAGATGGAGGGATTTGCTATGTTGTTCAGGCTGGTCTTGAACTCCTGACCTCAAGCAATCCTCCCACCTTGAATTCCCAAAGTGCTGGAATTACAGGTGTGAGCCACCCCACCCAGCCCATTGGCTCCATTTTAAAATAAATTTTAAAATTTTCAAGTTCAAATTGATGGTCCTTTCCTTTCTTTATATTTTAGAAAACATCACCTCTCACCTTTTTCCTTTCTTCATATTTTAGAAAACATCACCTCCGACCTTGATTTTTATAAAATATAAAGGAACAATGTCTAGAAGAAAACATCAGCACAACAAAGAACCTGATCTTGGCATGAGACAAGTCTCTGTAGGGCTCAGGGGCCTTAAAAACTGATTCAAATGGGCATCAGTTGAATGAATCTTGGTCTGTTCAATGGACTTAGAACAAGTTGTTCATTTAGTGGGAGAAAAATGTTGACCACCAAATACGGCCACTCAAAACAAAAAGAACAACCTCTGGAGATGAATGTAAAATGGTATTAATTACCAGTAGGAACCCCCCAACCACACGCCACTTGTACTTATATAAACTGAAGGCTGACACTCATGAACATTCTCAGAAAAGCAGCTTGTACGAAGGAATAGATAAAAGTTAGAGGTGTCAGCAGGCCAGAATGACAGCCACTCTGAGGCCAGTGAGAGACCTGGAGAGTCCTTACCCTCAACAGTAGACGCCAGCTATCACACGAGGATGTGCTGGCCTGGTGGCAAGGGAGACAAGGGAGCCTCCCAGCCTCTGGCTCACAAGAAAGCAATACTTCTTCTTCAGGGTACTGGAAATACCTCTACTCCTGGGCACACACTGGAGTGCCTCGCCAGTAGCACCACATGTCCCTGTTGAGAAGGCTATGGCTCTCTTGCTGTGACCTGCCTAACATAGCCTTGTTACTAATGGGATGAAGGCACATTCTCCCTGTAGCTACTTCTATCACACCCCACCTTTCTCTTGCAGACAGTCACAGCCTAACTATTTGAGGGAGGGGTCTTCGGGTCTTCCAGGAGCCCTGTCAACAAAGAAGAACACAGGCAGGTGTTCCCTGGCACCAGCAGTGACTAGGGAGACACTGAATTGTGTGGTAGGAGAAGGTGGTACACATCAGAAGGAGTCCTTGTGAAATAGAAAAACTGTTCAGGGAGGGGACAGACACTGCCCTCTCTATACACTGTGGCAACTCATCATAGGGCAGCCCTGGGAATTCACCCAGAGGCAGACCCTGGGGCCTCAGCCGCTTCCCCCGTAGACTCTGGGGCAGGTGAACCTCTGTGGCCATCAGGCAAAGTGCTTCCTGGGAAGAGCAATTGTGAATGTGTTGTTGCTCCAGGTGGCCAGGCAAGCCCTCAGGTACCTAGGTATGTAGGAAGGAAATTGTCTACACGGGGATGGGTTTTGTGACTACTGATATTATTTTATTGGTGACGTTATTGTTTATTAACTATCGACTCGGGGAGTCACAGCATAAGCCTTCACTGAGCAGCTGTTACAGCTGTGCAGGTGATTGTCTGACACGGATCAAAGCATCTTCCCAGCTAAGAAGGAGGTAGGCACCCAGACCTGAGTGAGGGAAAGCTAGAAAGATATGTCATTCCCCAGCCTGTCCTCTGCTTTCCAGCCACTCCTCTCCCAGCCCCTGCTGTCCAGCATCAACACCAGCTAGGAAACCGGCTGGTCGGGACTTTGGAGAACCAGAAAAAAGCCCCGAGAAAGGGTCAAAAAATGTAATGTATTTTTTTAAGAAGAAAATTGGTACCTTAATCTTTAAAATGAAGTATGAAGAGTAAGCTTTACCCAGGGCAGGCTGAGTGACCTCATCCACAGGTCACCAACATGCTATATTCCCAAGGGCAGGAAGCCTGAAGAGTCCACTTTGAGTAGGTTCCTGGACATCTGGAGCCACCCAGCCCCCTGGCAGAAGCACTCAGTAAGGCAAGAATGGCACCCTGTCAGTCTCTGTAACAAATGGGGTGGCAGGACCAGCAGGTGGCAAGCAGACCCACAGACTCTCAGAAACTAAATTACAACTCCACGTCCTGGTACCTGGCAGAGCCCTCAATGAGCTGAGAAAATGCTCTTATCTGTTGGTTTAGTCAAAAGATTTCTTCTGCAAAATGGCCTCTATGTGTTCCAGAAACTCCAGATCCAAACTTAACCTAGACTTGTTCTTCTCTCAAAGTGAAAATGACGCTGACGTTCAGTCTTTAGCTGAAAGTCGCTAACACCTAACCTGCCATGCATAATTTAGTGTGTGCTTCAGATGATAAAGCCTCTGCGCACAGGTGGCCATCAAGCCTGCTGGCCTCTGTAGGGTGTTACCTATCTGTGAAGAGATGACAAAACCAAAGGCAAAATCACAAGCAATGGAGAAGAAATTGACTAGGGAGGTGTGCGGAGTGCTGGTGCCCAGAATCAAGGCTCGAAATGGTGTGAAGTCGAACATGTCTGAAAACGAAGAAACAGCAAAATGAAATCATTCCATGTTCTATCTCATTGGGGCAATCTGACCCATTCACTGATACCCACAGCCTGCGGTAGTGTCATTAACCTAAGGGTATAGGTCATCTGCAACACTGATCTCTCTCTTGCTTAGCCCTGACAATGAGCAATGCTGAAGTCACCTGCCCCAGAGCAGCCACTTGGTCAGGACATCCGTGAGGGCACTCTTAGCAGGTCCCACCACAAAAGCTACTCCATATCTGAGATGAGCCACTTGAGTGCAAACCACTAACTCATGACTGCACTGCGCCCCTTATCATCACACAGCAGGAGCTGGAGCGTAGCGGGTTTCTGCTGTATGGTACCTCCTGATGTGTCAGCCCACACGTCTCCCACGCACTGAAGAATGGTTAACAGCACTGGATGAGAAGGCAGTGCCCAGCTGTGTCCCCATTTGCCAGAGGTCACTGCTTCCTCATTTGTCCCATTAGTCCAGAGGCTCTCAGCTGCACCTGTCTCTCAGTGCCCAAGGCTGCTCTGCGCGGCCTGCTCAGTGCACTGCAGGCCAAGCAAGCCCTCTGGGACACCGGGGCAAGGCTTGTCCATATGAGCATGTTCTCAACAGCCTGTGGGCAAGTTATGCTGTAGTAACAAACAACCATTTGAAATAAAACAGCCATTTCATTTTTGCTTGCTCATTTCTGGGCACCTTTGGTGGTGCTTCAGTGAGCCCGGCTGCTTTGACCTTCAGTCCTGGCTCTGCATATGAGGACTCCTCCACAAACCAGGGAGAGGCAGCAGGGCCTTGTGCCAGGACCACACGCACCTTCCATTCTGCTCTCAGCTCTTCACACGGAGCTGTCACCGGGCTCCTCCCAAACAGGCGGGGGCTGGCAAGTGTGGTCTCCTGCAGGTTCGGGAGGAGGGGAGAGCCGGGTAACAGTGTCGCCTGTCACACCTTCTCAACCCCTGACACTGTCTCTTCTCACTCCTACCAGGAAAGAACTTTCTGAGCTGCGTTCTGAGTACGTGTCTATGTATTTATAAATTATTAACTCATATTCTTGCATTAATATAAGAATATTTTCTAAAAGACATCTTTCATCTTTAAAAAGGATATAGAGAAAATAAGCAAAAGTTTAAGATGTCTAGTTAGCGCTGAAAGCATTTACACTGTCTCAATGAACAACAAATGCTTTGTGTGTGGTTCATCAATAATGATACTAGATAAAAATTTATCTTTGAAATATTTTCATTAATCATTTTTAATTTGGAGGGGCTGATTTATCTTATGTGGTTAGATAGATTATCATTTTTACTCTGAAATGTAGCCTATCAATTGTTCAGATCAGCCATGAATTGACTGAAGTAAATTATCAGTCAGCTCTGAGCTATCCCTTTTTTAGCATAATCCCTAATTTACGGTTTCTTTTTGAGAGGTTTAGTTCAGTTAAAATTAGTTATTAATAATAAAAGCCGTAACTCTACTTCACTAGGTCACTTGACTGCAGCATAGCAGGCTGAGAGCAGAGCACCCTTTCTCCTGTGCTGAGCCCTCCACACCCTCAGTGGTAGGGGCAGCTCACATCCCAAGGTGTCCTGAGTCACCGCACCTTTCCTCTGCTGTGCTGTTGCCGCCCTCGATCTTCAGATTAGAACTAGCTGTGAATAGAAGCTCCAGCCTTCACTTCCCTCCACAGTGGGCTGCTTCTACCTCCTCCAGCATGAGCCTTGGGGAGGCCCTGTGAACAGCAGCACCCTGCCAGAGTTGGGGCAAAAATCTCCTTGGCATTTGGGCTTCCCCTTTCAGGAAGTCACATCCACTGTGCCCCCAAGCCCACCAGACACACACACAGAGAGCACTGCAAGGTGATTTCCATCAGCCTCCTCAGGGCAGCTGGCTTCTGTAGAAGCCTGTTTGGGGCTCACTGCCATCCCCTTATCAGACACCTGGACATGCTAGCAGTTCAGATTCATAGCCATGATCTCAAGCTGCTGGCCACAGGCACAGAAGCCTTGGAGACACCAGAGCCATGACTCAGGTGATGAAAAATTCTGCCAAGCAATGTCTATTATCTTTTCATCTCAGTGAGCTGATTACTCACACCCTTTAAAAGAAATGTTGATCTGGTACA